CTCACAATTTTATAAACCTCTATAAGTTCACCCCTCAGTCACTGATGCTGCAGGGAAAATACCCCCAGCCTATTCAGCCTATCCCTGTAACGCAAACCCTCCGATCCTGGCAGCACCCCTCTAATCTTTACTGAATCCTTTCAAGTTTAACAACATCCTTCCTACAGCAGGAAGACCAGAACTGAATGCAGTTTAAACTTCTGATTGCTGGTTTTGCCTTGCCCAGACTCTCTGTGGTTCCGGTGGCAGTGGGATTGAGCACCCAGAACTGTGTAGACCTGGTTGTTAGCCCTTTACTTATACCAGTTTTTATCTGAATTTGGTTACAGCTTTTCATTGCAAGTTTAAAGCCCACTCAGAAGTTTTACTCAAAGTAAAATTCACCAAAGCCCCTTAGATAGCACCTTCCAAACCCAGGACCACAACCACCTAGAAGGATCAGGGAAGCAGATATATGGGAACACCATCACCTGCAAGATCTCCTCCAAGCCACTCACCATCCTAACTTCGAAATGTAATGCTGTTGCTTCAGTGTCGCTGGGTCAAAACCCTGGAATTCCCTCCCTAACAGCATTGTGGATCTACCTACACCAACTGGTCATGGTGGATTAAGAAGGCAGTTCATCACCAACATCTTGAGGGCAATTAGTGATGGGAAGTAAATGCTAGCCCAGTCAGCAAGCCCCTGAATGAACAAAAAAAGTCAGCACCCACAGCAATGTTCACTGCCCCCTCAATATACCATGGACTCACCTCACCCTCACCACACCTCGGCCCCTGACTTTCCACCTGGAATGCTAAACAAAGAAAAAAGCTAAACTATGGATGCTACAAATCAGGAAACAGAATCAGAAATTGCTGGAGAAACTCAGCAGGCCTGGCAGCATCTATAGAGAGAAAACAGAGTTTATGTTTCAAGGCCTTCTTCTAGGGTCACTGGACCTGAGACGTTAACTCTGCAAACTCTCCACAAAATGCTTCCTGATCTGCTGAGTTTCTCCAGCAATTTCTGTTTTTGTTACCATCTGGAATCCCTGACTCCTATCCGGCTGATGTCAGAAGAGTCAACGTTGTCGGTGAGTTACGGGGTTGTGAGGTGTAGTGGGTTTGAGCATTTTTGTGATGCGAGGAGGATGAGAGAGCCAAGAGTGATACTGTTGAGGGATTGAGGGAGAGGATGAATATTGTCATTGCGGTGAGACAGGGTGTAGGGGGCTGAGGGAGGAGTTGAACACTTTTGGGGTTTGAGAGAGGGAGGTGGACATGGTAGAATTTGAAGGAGATATCTAGAACTGTTGAAGGGGATGAAGCAGGGGAATGAGCATTGTCAGTATGTGAGGGGGTGAACGTTGAGCTGAGGTCTTCTAATGAGTGGTCACCCAATCCGACTTCCTCTCCCCAGTGTCAACGAGACTGTGTTGTGTAGAGTAGATTGGAAGAAAGACAAGTAAATTGCTCTTTCACCTGGAAGTTGTGTTTGGGGCCTTCAGTGGTGAGGAAGGAGAAGGGAAGGGGACAAGTGTTACACCTCTTGCAGACCTGCAATCTAGTCACCCATATCTGCTGCTCACAATATGGTTGACTCCACATTGAGGAGACCCAACACAGACTGGCTGACTGCTTCACAGAACTTCTCCACTCAGTCTGCAAACTCAAAGACTGGCTATTGAGAGAGGGGGGCCTGTATGAGGTATACAAAGATCAGATGGGCAGATACAGGATAGATAGGGAGCAAATTTTCCCCTTAGCAGATAGGTAAATAACCAAGGACACCATTTTCAGGCAAGAATCAGCAGGTTTAGAGAGCATTTGAGAAAAAAAAACAACTCACCCAGAAGTGTGTGGGTATCTGATACTCACTGACTGAAAGGGTAGTGGAGACTGGAGCCCTTAAGACATTGAAGAACTGAATAGATGGCTACGGGGCAAGTGCTGGAAAATGGAATTAGAGTAGATGGGAGTTTGATGACTGGTGTGGACATGATGGATCAAAGGGCCTCTCACCAGGCTGTAAAAGCTCTATGACTCTATGACCCCAAACTTTTGGCTGCTTGTAATTTCAATAAACCACCTTGTTCCCTTGCTAACATTTGTGTCCTGGACCCTCTGTGGTGTTCCAGTGAAGCCCAATGCAAACTGCAGCACCTCATTCTCCATTAGGCACTTTGCAGCCTTCAGGACTCAACGTTCAGCAACTTCAAATCATAAACCTTTGTCCTTTATTTTGATTTGTTCCCTATCCCACCACCGTCCTCATCCCCCACACCTCATGGCCCCCCTCCCTCCTCATTCATTTTATTTTTGCTGTCAGTCAGAATTGATGTTTAACCTGGTATTAGTTCCCTGCTTTAGTTGGTTAGTTCAGTTGATTGGATAGCAGGTTTGTGATGCAGAGTTAAGCCAACAGCATAGCCTCAATTCCTGCAACTGGCAAATATCACCATGAAGGTCCTGCCTTCTCGATATCACCTCTTGCCTGAGGTGTAATGACCTCAGGTTAAATACACTACCAATTGTGTCTCTTTAATGAGTCAGTGGGATTATGGTAATTTCACTTTCCCTAAACTCTACTCTGGACCAATGCTTTGCGGTAATGATAACCACATTCTTTACTTTCTGTTCTGTGATGCCTCTGATCTCTCATCTCCCTCTTGCTCCAAATCTTCCCAATTATGTTTTTTTTTCCACCTTTTTCTATTCCCTTTTTCAACAGTATAACCCCATCACAATTCCACCTCTCTACAGTTCCATAGAAAAGTTATATTGGAATCAAAATGTTTCTCTCTTCTCAGATACTAAGTTTCTCCAGCATTTCTGTTTTTATTTCAAATCTCCAGCATTTGCAGTGCTTTTCTGCAGCCATGATACAGATACAGGAATATCACGACCTCCAGAGATGGGGTTTTCTATATGGCTTGGATAAAGGGAACGAAAGTACATTTGCCAAATTTAATGATGATTCAGAGATAGATAGGAAAGTATGTTGTGTAGAGGGCGCAAGGAGGTTACAAGAAGACATAGATAGCTTAAGTGAGTGGACAAAGAATTGGCAAATGGAACATAATATGGGAAAGGGTGAAATTATCCATTTTTACAGAAAAAATATAAAGTAATATTTTACCTAAATGGCGAGAAATTGCAGAGCTCTGAGATGCAGAGCAATCTGAATGTCCTTGTACATGAATCGCAATAGGTTAGTATGCAGGAACAGCAAGTAGGAAAGCTAATTATAAATTGGATACAAAAGTAGTGAGATCTTGTTTCATTTATACAGAGCACGGGTAAGACCAAATCTGCAGCACTGTGCAGTGCTGTGTATGAATCCAGGACTTAGTACAGAAATTACAACAATGATTGTTGGTCTGTGAACTCAGAAATGTCAGAGTAGGACTGGCTACTGAGAGACTACAACAGGCCAGTTGCCAATGTGCCCCTTGGAATTTCATTTCAAATGGACATTCTGGCCTTTTACACTTGTCCTACTGTGAAATGCTAGGACACTGAGGCGACGTAAGTGTACTCAATATGTGTTTGTTTCGTACAGAACTGTGAGCGTGCTCTGAGTGTTGTACATTTTGTTATGGAGTTGCATTGTATGTGTTATATTGTGGAGAGCGCGTGCTTTATTGCATGTGTTCCATTATATTGTGTGTTCCATCATGTTGTATAGCATCATTGTATTGTCTGTTTCATCATATTGTGTAAATAATTATATTGTATATTCATTTACATTGTGCGCCATTAGGTGTTCCATTATATTGTGTGTTCCATTATATTGTGTTTCTTTGTATTGTGTATTTCACTTTCTTGACAGCACACCATTATATTGTGTGTTCCTTTGTATTGTATGTTCCATTATGTTGTGCGTTCTATTACATTATGTTCCATTATATTGTGTATTCGATTATATTTCATGTTCCATTTTATCATGTTCTATTATATTGTATATTCTATTATATTGTGTTCCATTATATTGTGTTTCATTGTATTGTGTATTCCACTATATTAAGTGCACACCATTGCATTGTGTGTTCTGTTATATTGTGTTCCATTATATGATGTTCTGTTTTATTGTGTATTCAATTATATGCATGTTCCATTATATCATGTTCTATTATATTGTATATTCTATTATATTGTTTTCCATTATATTGTGTATTCTATTATACTGTGTTCCATTATATTGTGTTCTATTATAATGTGTTTCATTGTATTGTGTTCCATTATATTAAGTGCACACCATTGTATCGTGCGTTTCATTATATCGTGTTCCATTATATCATGTTCCAATACGTTGTGTGATCCGTTATGTTGTGTATTCTATTGTATGTGTGTGTGTGTTTGTGTTTTATTGTGTGTTGGTATTCTTTGTGTGTGTGTGTGTGTGTATATATACATACACCACACGAAGGCCCAACGTTTTGACATTCATTCAAAAACGTTTAAATCCACCAGCCAAGAGCTGCCCCCACCCCACCCTACCCCACCCATAAGACCTTGTGGAAGCCCGGGGGGTCTCCCAGATTGCGACAAGTGCTGTGATAGGACAGGGGCTGTTCTTTCCAACCCAGAGAGCCGCGTTGAGGGGTGGGGGAAATGGGGAGTGGGGAGGGTGGGATTTATAATTTATTGTGCGGGATATTTCTGTAAAGCACTCCCCCTGACGCCCAGCGAAACTCGCCACAAAATGAAAGGAGCAGCCGGCTTAGCTGAGGGCAGCATTGTGGAGCCGGCAGCTCATTTAAAGCTGGGCTGTGTCCTTTAATCTTCTCGGCAGTAGCCAATACTGTGGTCGGACCCCAGAGTGAGTGGCTTTTGTCGGCATTTTTATTTTCCTAATGGCTGCGAAATTAATTGTGCATTTAATCATAAGGCTGGCAGGTTTGAGTGTAATTGAAATCAGGAGGGGAGGGGTGGAATCACGAGTAGTGAAGCTGTGATTGGTTGTGGACTGTATGTAGGAAGGTTTGCCTATCCTGTATCCAGGAGAGACAGTGAGAGCTCAGTGTTAAAGACCTCACAGTCGAGGAGCTGGATTTCTCTGTTATCCAGGGGAGCAGGCGTGGCGAGGGGGTTTTTCTGAGGTGCACTACTGCTCCTGGTCTCCCCTACAGAAACTGCTATTTTACATGCTGGACAGGTACTGTGGCCGACTCTTGTTCTGGATCAGGGAAAGTGGGAATAATTTCCACAATCTGCATTTCAGTCGTTAACCCTTTCTTAGCTGATGAGACCAACTGGGTCCTAATTAACATCCAAATGTCGGGAGTGTATGTGGTTAAATGTTTGAGGGGTGTAGCCGGAGGGTCGCCTCAAGCTCTGGGCAGAATAACAGCTAAGGTTTCATGACTCATATGATTCTGGTGCTTTGTGAACAAACTCTTTTCAATCTTGTTCCTCTGAATTTTCTAGTTGAAAGTAACGTTCTCGGATGTGTGTTTTGGAGTGGTAACGGATGGGGCACTGTAATCTCGGCATGTAGTCGTGAGTTACACTGGTACAAAACATTGAAGTGACTTGATCGAGATGTTGGCTATTTTCAGGGCAGTGGGAATGGGGTAAATATCACGGAGTATCTGCTCTCGTTAGAGTGGTGTTGTGCAAGCATTTCCAGCCAAGTAAGGTCCCTGCTGGCCTCTGCGTTAAAAGCTTGTGGTTTCAGACCTCATCTGAGTCAGAAGCACAGGATCCAGTAAGTCCTGTACCCAGGAGGTGCTGCACTGTCCGACAGTCATCCTTCATATTTAATCTTGTCCTTTAAGCCAAACCTGTGCAAAGTCTGGAGTATCTCAGGATACTGACAGTATCTGCACAGATACTTCCTTAAAGCTAACTGAAGAGTCTTGCAGTATCTGTAGAGAGAGAGAGAGAGAGAGAAACAGAGTTGACCCCTCTTCAGAACTGTCGCTGAAGCTGCTTACTCCTTCTCACAAAGGCTCTTAAATGTACTGTAACACTATTTACAACTGTACATAGATTCTCCAATACAGCTCTGTAGTGTGGTGTCTATGATTTCTCTCTGCTTGTTTTCATGTTTCAAGGGGACAATAAACTTTCCAATACTGAGGAAGATTGACATGTTCTCCTTTAGACTAGAACTTAAACGAAGGCTTCCACTGTGGTGGTTTAGAGAAGATCAGGGCCACTTTCCAAGATTTCAGCATCTCAGTCTCTATATGTGAGTCCAAATCAGAACCAGAAGTGGGGAGAGAGATAAGAATTGTACTTGAGCTCAAACTCTCCTGATTTGATATTAAATGTCACTTAGTCTATTTGGAAATCTTTGCATAAATGCTAAGAGTGTGATTGCCAATTGATTGGTTTAAAATAGATTTCCAAGCCTCACTGAGCAGTCACCGCTGCTGCCTCCTCTGCACCTTTGCTCGTGGCAATTTAACCTTTCCAGCCAATCACAATAGGTGCATTCATGACCCAATCAAAGATGGTAGTTCACTGAGAGCTGGTGCAGTAAGGAGCCATAGTCAGTGAAGACCAATAAACAACTCTCTCCATTAGTGAGACAGTGGTTATGTATCGCTTGAGGGTAATGACTCAACAAACATGGAGTATGGTGAGGAGGCAGAGCTGCCATGAACTTGCACTATAAACACAGGGAACGAACTTGTGTTGGCTTTATTCCGCACCACGCTTTGGGGCATGGGGTAGGGTTGGTGTTGGGGTGGGGGCACAATTGCAGCATTCATCATGGATGAGGAACACAAGCCATGTTGTAATATTGGAGCCTTGTATGCCCTAGCCCCGCACTCATGGTCACATTACTGGAGGAACACACCACACTACAATAAATATTGATATATAAATTGTCCTGTACACTGATTTTTATTTTGTAGGTCCTTTTTAATTTGGGTTTGGTAGCATTGTAAGTACCTCTGAGTCAGAAATTCTAGGTTTGTGTCCAACCCCAGGACTTGACAGACAAGGAAGGTGTGCTCATTATATAGGCAAACGGATTGATTACAAGTCTTTAACCATGCCCCTCAGTGGTAAGATTAGGAGAGTTTTCGAGATGGGGATGGCTCCTCCTCAGGCTACGCTGATAGGATGGTGACTTGTTCCAGGGTAAAAAAAAACTAGCTCTGGAGACAGATGCAAACATGTGCTGTGACTGCCTCGTGTCTCTAGGTTTGGGAAGACCTATTTCTGTGCTGTAAATGCTATGAGTTCTTGAGAAAACACAGCCCTTGTGCTGGCAGTGGTAGTGCCAGTGTAAACCTGCTGGATTCACTAAGGCCAGTGCACAGGAGAATGCAACAACAACTTGTATTTATATGGCACCTTTTAACAGAGTAAATGGTGCCAAAGCACGTTGTCAAGCAAAAACTGACACAGAGCCACAGGAGTAGATATTTCAATAGGTTGAAAAAAAAGCTTGATCAAAGATGTGGGTTGCAAGGAGTGCTTTGAAGAGAGGTTTTAAGGGGAAGATTTGCAAACTCGGGGCCTGGATGCCTGAAGGCAGAAGTACTTGAAGTGGAGTGAAGGAATGGGGGTTAAGTGAGAGACCAGAATTGCATCCTCATTTCTGCAGATTTTCCAGTCAATCTAAGGTTTGTTGATTTGATGCATGGAGGACAATTCAATTCTGCATTTTGTTTCAATAGCATAACAGTGACAGGTACGCAAATCTTAATTCCTTGGACAGATAATCATTTCACTGCGGATATAAAAGTGTAATAATATTTTCAATAATATATTCCCTCAGACTTGAGTTGTCTACCAATGTGTGTGCTTCTATGGACTAATGAGAGAATTTGAGAGGACATCATCACTGTCCGTAGAAAGCCCCAGGTGTGTTGTCCCAGTAATTAACAGTTACAGTTCCCCATCATTGCAGATCCCAATGCACAGGCTCATTAACAAAAAATGTATAAGTACAAGATGTCAGCTTTAATTCCTACAGTAAGTACTGCTGGAAGATGTGTGTCCCCTTTGGGTGCCTTTTCTCCCTGTCCCTTTAAAGTGGTGAAAGACTAGGCCGATCAGCTTCCACATCTCTTTGTTCATCTCTCAAACCAAAGCATGCTATGGTGTTACAGAATGATATTAAGTGTGTCCAAAACCAGTCAAGGGAAGATCAGATGTTCCTTGCCCAAACATTGCTCTCAATAAACTGCAAATTAAACAGTTAAGGTCATTGCACTGTCTGTCAGCTCAGTTGGTAGCACACTTGCCTCTGAATCTCAAGCTTTCTGTTTCAAAATCTCAGTCCAGGGCTTGGGCACAAAAAGGAGAATTGAGGCTGGTGCTACAGTGAAGTAGTGAGGCTGGTGCTACAGTGAAGTAGTGAGGCTGTGCTGCCTGGTTGGTGCTGCAGAATTTTAGATGAGCCATCTGCTTCATTGGAAATAAAGCAAACCACAACATGGTTCTTTCCCAAAGGACTGGGAATTATCTGACATCCCCAGTCTCCCATCCATTAATTATTCCCCAGTCAGCATAACTGGTCTCCTACTTAAATTGTTCACAGGATGTGCACTTTACTGGCTGAGCCAGAATTTATTTCAGACAGTTCTTCATTGGCTGTAAAAAGCTGCAAATAAATGTAAACCCTTCTGTTTAAGATAACCAAGGTGTAGAACTGGATGAACACAGCAGGCCAAGCAGCATCAGAGGAGCAGGAGGGATGACGTTTCGGGCCTAGACCTTTCTTCAGAAAGTTTTGTTGTGTGCACAGTGGCTCACGTTTCCTGGTGTGAAAACAGTTCACAGTGCTGCAAAGTGATAAACTGTGCCTGCAATTCCTGATTATGTAGATGCAAATGGTTTGAGTTTCATAATTCGTGATTCCCAGAGGCAACCTGTTGGTTCCTGAATATTAAAGTACCGCTTACTATCACAGCTTATTGTATTCCGAGCTCTTTCTCCACCATTAGTCTGCTCCACCTCCTACCCCCACCCCCCCACTGCCGCACGGTGTTCTCTCCCATCTGTGACCTTTTATCTTCTGTGGTTCAATCTGCCCACTGGGAGGGATGGAATGGAATTTGCAGTTACTGCCTCCAAGAAGGTCCAGGATCTTCCCCCCCCCCCCCCCCCCCCCCCCCCCCCCTTTTCCTCCTCTACTAGCACCACTTTTTAAAAACAACAACATGCAGATGATCTGGTCATTATTGCTAGTGGGAGCTTGCTGTGCACAAAACTGACCGCTGAACGCCTGACATTGCAACGGTCGTTGCACTTCACAAATGGCGCTTTGAGATATCCTGGGGTAGTTAAAGGCGCTATGCAAATGCCGAATATTTTTTTTTTACGCGGACTCGTTCAGCATTTCTCCGAGGGTGCATTTAAGGATGACAAAAGTTTGTATGTGTTGGTGGGGTCTCAGCATTGGCGGATGAAGATCAGTGAAGCTGAGCTGTAGAACCAGTCTTCCAGCTCGTGGAGTGAAGAGCAGATTGCGAACAAAAAATTCAAACGCTGGTTAGTAGTAAATCACCCAGATACGAGCAGGAAAAATGAAAAAGACTTGAGCTTCAAGAGAGGATTTTATTCACCGTTAATGATTGACAAGAGAGCTGCAAATTGTCAGTTTCTCCGTGTTATTTTCATGCACTTAAGTGCTGTCATTTTCTTGTCTTTTCTGTCAGTATAAACTAGTCCCAGAGCTCTCTCTAATGGAGAATGTAATCAAAATGTTCAGTGAATGGCACCGTGACAAGGAGATTCTTTCAGACTCACTTCGAAACCCGTCGTGAATCAATTTTTCATTTTTCCCACTTTGAGTGCCCACTACTACATAGTCTGGCTCAGCAGGTGATGCTGGGCTGACTACCGTGGGAACTTTTCGTCTATCTCTTAATGTTGCAGGAGCTCCTTTTGATGTGCTGTAGTAATTGGAAGCCCTGCTCAAAAAAAAAGCCATGTGCGCTTACGTAGCAAGGTGTAGAGCTGGCTGAACACAGCAGGCCAAGCAGCATCAGAGGAGCAGGAAAGCAGACGTTTCGGGTCTAGACCCTTCATCAGAAATGGGGGAGGGGAAGGGGAGTCTGAACCGAAATGTCAGCCTTCCTACTCCTCTGATGCTGCTTGGCCTGCTGTGTTCATCCAGCTCTACACCTTGTTATCTCAGATTCTCCAGCATCTGCAGTTCCTACTATCACTAGAACCAGCTGGGGCTCT